AGAGGTAACATGTGAGCTGTGTGTGAGTGTGTGTGTGTGTGTGTGTGTGTGTGTGTGTGTGCGCTCGCCTTTGTGGGGAATAAAAAAAAAAAAAAAGATGGAGTCTTTGTCATTGTCACATAGGCTCAGAGCCACTGTGGCAGCAAAGTCACGTCCTTGTCCATTCTGCCATTTTCACCCTCAATGCTATATTGAGACGTGTCATTACTCATTTCTGACAATGTGTTGGAGGCCTGGTGAGGAATGGCGAACATCGAGGCCAGCATCCGCCGGTGGTGACGCGCCTGCGCGGCTATTCAGCGTGGAATAAACTCGGGCAATCAGTCAGCTCCACCAACGCCCAGTCGAGCTCACTGGTGTCGGCGTCAGCAGGATGTATAGGCAACGATATCACACACACCCGCCTGACAACGCGTCCCTCAACGGGAGTGTTTGGACGGCGCGGCGTTCAGCGCTTTGTTCAACTATAATCAATGCAGTATAAACATTTTTCATTTTAGTCAAGCATAGCGTTGCCAGAGACTAACGACTGATGCCTTTTGCAGGACTTAATTGGAGGAATTGTTTGATGTTGTGCAAAGTGATTATGGATGTAGAATCCCATCTGCAGACAGTAGGACTCATAACGTAGACATAACTCTGTGACTCCCATTATGTTGGAGCTCCAGAGTTTTGGTGAAATAAGATCACACGATGGAAGAGTTTTTTTCTTATAGTTTTCGAGCTGTGAGCGCTTGTTTGAGGCTAATCCAGTGACTCACAGGTGATTGGCTGATTGATACGGGGCTACACTTTCAAAGTAAAAGCTCAAAGATGTTAAAAAGGAACTGATTAGGGTTTGTAAAGCTCGCTTGTCAAAATAAAACATATTATACCTTATGTACATCTACAGTAAGACACCTGGAAAAGCTGCATTGGCACTTTTCTATCTGTTTAATAGCAATTTGGGTGAACTGGCCCTTTAACGTGACCGGCAGAAGAGCTGCTGTGGCGTATCTGAGGGGAAAAGTTCACCCATAATACAATAATACCCGTCACTAATGGTGAACAACAGCGAGCCCAGATCTGTTGACTGTGTCGCTGACAGCATGTTTTTATCCATTAAATATTTCCAAAGCTTTGGAAAGCCGTGTGTAATCATGATTTATGTGAGCAAGTCCCTACTGCGAATATTCTAACTGTGCAGTGGAGCGACACACTTGACACGGCAGAGGACATCTGCTGGACTTCAGTCAACAGATCAGACTTTTACTGACAGTAAAATAAAGCTGGTGGAGCTCAGGACTCGACCGGAGGACGGCGGCTGTGTATCGAATGATGTAACAGCAGCTTATAAACCGTGTGTGTGACGGATCGGACCCGTCTGAGGTGAAGGACGGTCCACTTAGTGATGTGCTGTTAGATCCTCATCGATCCTGTCTCCATGTCAGGGACCATTTAGAAGCATAAGCAGGCTAATTAACGAAGATACCGCCGCTGTGCATAAATCAGCTCAGTTCTGTCTCTGTGGAGATACTAATATATGAGTATGTATATATAAATACATGATAGGCAGGAGTTTTGTGTGTGTGTAGACTAAAAGGTAAACGATGACTTTTGTGCTGTCTGCAATGTTTATGAACTTTTGTTGGTGTTTATTTGGGCAGACACACTGAAAACAGTTTCTTTTGCG